TTGGGGGCAGTTGTTATATATTAGCACTATAACAGGTAAAGCTTTGACAATCTTGTCACCTGTAATTAGATTCACCTGTAAGAATAAAACGTTTTGGTTCAAGATTTAGAAACAGAACGAAGAGGTTTTCTCCTGTTTCTTAGCCACGGGTGTCATTCGGTTTATCGAGAGAAATGATAGTGAAAGAATATTTTACGGTGGTCAAGTATTGCGAGACGATCGTGGAATCTATGGTACCGGATCGTGAATGTAATTAAATGTAAATTCTATTTCAGAATGTGTGAAAAAATCGCTGAATTTCAAAATGCGGAACAAATCCGAACAAAAAAATATGTCTGTCAAAATGATTCAACTTCCTCAACATTACTGTGCAATAAGATAAAGAAAATATGCAGTACTTTATGAAAAAACACAAAAGGCACAATGCATGTCTTTGGGATTAATTAAAAAAACACGTTTTTTGTACCTATAATGGTCATATTTCAATATATCATGATATTTTTGAAATTTAATCTTTGTTGTGTCCGAAAGTACAGTAAAATAAAAGTATGCTCTTCCCTTAAAATCATTCATTTGTTAATGAAAACCTTGAATTTTGTTGATTTTTCATCAAACTTGATCGTGATAGATCAGGCAACGCATTATTTTGATCGTGAAAGATAATGCGTGACCAGACTTAATAATCAGAAATCAATATGTCTTTTACCATTTGATATACCTGCAACTGGTTGAAGCCAGTAACTTTTTTGATAAGAACGAACATGAAAGCTATCATTTGTTTTTTAAATTCAACACTTTACCTCTAAAGTTAAAAAAATTTAACTTAAAACGTGTCTAAATCAGTGTGAAAAATTCAGCTCTGAGAATCGGACTAGTACAAATCAGGCAGACCTCCATTATTTAGCCAATAATATGGGTATGCAACGTTCAAACCAAAAAGTTAATCATCAACCAAAAACTTATAGCAAAAACAGCATCTTTCATGAAAAATTTGAGATTGAACGATAACCAACATTTTGTTATATGTATCTTTGTATACAACGTAGCAGATGTGGATTGATTTCCAATGAGACAACTATATATTACAGAATAAAGAATACCAGAGCGCAAATGCTGAAATGTCTCGTCTGCTTTACTTATGATAGTATATTTGTTGAACTTCTGTAATATTAAGGGTTTTACTAGAAGTGTCACATACTCTTAAAATTGTCAATGATTCATAAAAAGAGGTCAAGGTCAGATGAACCATGACATACAGATATCTACAAAAATCCCGTACACCAAATATAGGTGTTCCGATGCTTACAGTACCTTAGAAACTGACAAATGTAAAAGTTATGTTTGGCCAATTAATTCGGAACATGAGGTCGAAAGTATATGAACCCTGACCGACAGTCAGACACAGACATCTTACTTTCATTCAATATATCAAATACAATTGACGTCATATATGAAACATGCAGACAGACATGTACACCATACACCAAATACCGTGGCCCTATAGCATACAGGTATGCAAGCTTTATAAATATAATGGGCATAAAGATGAGAATTCAAAGTTATAAATACAAAATAAAACATCTTAATGTATAAAAAAACAATACTTATGAAGGACGGACAAATGGACTGGTATTGATACAATTTACCAAGTCTGTGTGGTATTATAAGATATTAGATCCAATGGCATTGCACGATTATAGCCCTATTCACCAGCAAAAGAGACCCGGGTCAGTCATGCCAATCTATTTTTTTTTTAATACCAATAACAAATATTTATTATCATATAATTGAAGAATAATATGAACGTCTTCGTAGCATTAGATCTTTTACGATCCTTTTCACGATCTTCATAAACCAGTACGTGATCTTTCACGATCCGAAATATCAATTTTGTGTAAATATTTCTTTTTTTACCAAGTTTCAGATTATGTTTATACAAAATAACTATGAGAACCATTTGATGCATTCAAATAGAATGCCCTTTTTTTGAAGAAAAATAGTTTATTTTATTGGAATTTGTGAAAAAATCATGTTTGTTTACATTTTTGATGTCACTGAAATGTCGAGGAGCAATATGCCTTTTGTTGTTTTGTAAAAACTATGTACTTTTAGAACTGGATTTTCTCACATACTGATCATAATGTTCGACCATTTTGACAGACAATTTTATCTTGTTGTAAATTTGTCCGTGTAATTAATTAAATTAGATGATTTAATGACTTTTCATATGTCTTCTCGATTAAATTTCTTTCACGATCCGGTACCAGAGCTTTCACGATCGTCTCGCAATACTTGACCTCCGTTAGATATTCTTTCACGATCATTTCTCTCGATAAACCGAATGACACCCGTGTTAGCGAGTACACACACATTTTGTATTCAGACAATGTACATTTATTGTTCATATCCTACAATTAATAACTGGCGCTTTAAGGTTCGTGGCATATAAACTCTTATGTATTTAATTATTTTGAAAACAAAATGAAAATTATGTCTAATGAATAACCATGATGAAATAATTGTTTTTTCCATAATTGAATCGTGCATTTGTGTATTGGATTACTTAGTTGCCTTCTTTCTAGTGCTATTTATTTTGTTTACTGACAAATGACGAAATAACGCAATAGTTAAAATTAAATATTTTACAAAACTTTGTCACGATTAAAAAATTAAAACCGACTGAATGAATTAAAATATGAGAATTCAATGATTATCGATGTCGAAATTAGCCGTCGGTAATAAACAGTCAGTTTGTGTAAAAGAAATAGCTACCAAATTTGTTTATTACGTATGTACAAAGTATATGTATATTGTATATAATCAGCCCTTCTGTATATTACTTGTTTTTATAATTGATTCAACAAATTTCGCTTGTCCAGGTGTCAATAACGGTGATGTTCACACCACGAGTAGTGATAAATGACACAATAACAGCGATCGATCAGTAAAAATTGCGTGCCGTATGCTGAATGTCGCCCCTCCTCTGAAAAGGACGCTAATTTTTATATAAAATCTCGCAAAATTATGACCCATATTTTGACACATCCCCGTTCACCCAATAATAGGAAGTGAATTAGTTACCATCATGGTTTCAAAGAGAAAGTAAAACGTTAAACGCCGGATTCAGTGTCGTCCAATTAAAACACTCGTTACATTGTTCTTTTGTATATTTAGAATCCGAGATAAACCTAGATTTTCTCGAGAAATGAGATAATTCATTATCTGAAATTGAGAAAATTAATTATCTGGAGAAAAATTAGGATTATCTGAAAATCGATCAGAAAAACCTAGATTTTCTTAATATTTTGAGATAAATCGAGATTTTCTCCAGAAAATGAATTTTCTGTATTTTCTGAGATAAACTAGGATTTTCTCGAATTTGAATTAAGCTGAGATAATCTTAGTTTATCTGAGATAAACCGGGATTATCTGAGATAATCCTAGTTTATCTGAGATAATCTAAGATTAATTAATAAAAGTGGGACAGGCGTGCCATATATACAACTATTATAGATAAAAAGCGCAAAAGTCTTGCCAATTTTGTTCAGGTGTAACAAAGTTAAAAGCGTAAATGTCCTTTAGTGTTACAGGTAAAAAAAACCCTGCGTCCGTCTGGTCACGCATTGTCTTTCACGATCAAGATAATGCGTTGCCCGATCTTTCACGATAAATTTTAATGAAAAATCAACAAAATTCAGTGTTTTTAAAAACGAAATGAACGGTTTTTTACTGTCTTATCTATCACACCAAAGATTCAGTTTCAAATATATCATTATATATTGGAATGTTGTCATTATAGGTACAAAACGTGTTCTTTTTTAATGAATCCCATAGACTTGTGTTGCCGCTTTTGTGTTTTCTCATAAAGTACTGCATATTTTATTTATCTTATTACACGGTATAATTGAGAAAGTTGAATCATTTTGACAGACATAAATTTTTTTCGGATTTGTTCCGCGTTTTGAGAATACAACAGATTTTTCACAGATTTTGAAGTAGAATTCCAATTAATTACATTCCCGATCCGATACCAGAGCTTTCACGATCATTTCTCTCGATATACCGATATACCAAAATAAACTAAGTTGGGAAAGAGGTTTTAGAACTTCCCATCAGGTAATAGTTGAAGTGATTGACATGGACACTAGATGGACAATAGATGCCTGACAATAATTGGTGATTTAAACTGTGTACCTGCACCTGTACCAGAGTGGACCATATCAAGTGAAACTCAACTGTTCGTTTATTCTATCATCTTCTGCAGGGACGAAAAAAAGTGCACTGCAAGATCCAGTTAAGTTTTCAAATTTTTTTAAACATACATTGCATTTGAATTTTAGTAATCAAGGGCATGCTATGCATGAAAACTTTTCCAAAAACACCTATATTCACACTTTTCCGAAAGGCTGCTACACATTTAGACACACCTATCCTAGTCATGTGTGTTTCATTTATTAAATAATTTATATCCGTTATAGCTGGTCGAATTAGAATATAAATATTATATATTACACAGTCCGTCGCCCACCGTCAATGACATGTTCATAATCTGGTACATGTAAATACATATGTATGTATAAATAAGGAGATGTGGTATGATTGCCAATGAGTCAACTATCCACCAAAGTTCAATGAAGTGGAATTCAAGCCAGTAAAGGCAACCGTACGGCCTTCAACAATGTGAAAACCCATACCGTTTAGTAGGCTATAAAAGGCCATGATATGAAAAATATGATACAATTGATGGCCTTGTTTATAACAAACAATTTACGAATGTACATTTATTCATATTTTGTTATGACATAAATCATTGCAGCATAAAAAAACTGCAGAATGTACATTAACATATGTCTATGCGCAACAAAGTGGCGATCAAACACCATATGTCGAAGAAATTTACTACGTACTTTCAATTTTCAATCACTTTAAAATACCTTTTCGAAATATTTTACACACTTTATGCTCCAATTAAATGAAAATGAAGAAATATTTATATTTACCTTGTTTGTTTTTGATGACATGATTCATTAACATTTGATGTAGCCATCTAATGTTTTTGTGGATCGAATCGGTCAACGAAATTTTTCAACCTTGTTTGACTTTCAATGTGGATATGTTTTTCCTTTTAATAGTAAGACACAGCTACATTGTAGTACATGTGTAACCCATCTCCAGCTAAGTGGTTAAGGTAGATAGGGTGTCTTCCTCCATCTTGGATTTTGAAATACCAGAAAATAATCGGTCTAGACCTTTAATAAAATGTGCAAATTTTGAGAGTAGTGGGTAATTCATGTGTAAGAATTTACATTTTAATATAGGAAATGACATGTTTTATTATATTTATGGTTGTATTTTACAGAAAACAGAATACTTTTGTTTGATTCGATTTTTTCTAACTTTGCCACATAAGGGGAGGCAACTCAAATGTAAGGGCAGATAATTCAAATATTGTTACTTTTACAATAGAATGTGTTAGGAATTTATCTATTTTATTATGTAGCAAGAAAACGGGCCCGGTGACCCCATTTTTTCTTTTTCTTATCTGAAAGTATAATATTAGAGCTATCTTCTCATGTTTTATCTCAAAATTCTATGGTGCAGTTTTCGTTTAATGGCAGAAAATTGCGTTTTCCATGCATAATCTATACAAAATCTGTCAATTTTGCACAACCTGTAGCGTGAAAATAAGCCCCGTGACCCATTCTTTTTATTATTTTTTCCAAAAAAGCATGATATAAACTTCATTTTGGCAAATTATTAAAAAATTCTATGGATTATAATTTAGACACCCCATCTACCTTAAATTGAAGGTCATATGAACATGGATTCACATGAAGTTGAATTTCAATAACACATAAGCTATGCTTTGAGCTTAATTTGACAAATTGAAGCCAAACTTACTTCTGATAACAAATTATTATTTCAAAATTTCACTTTAATTAATACTTGAAACAAAAAGAATCGTAATTTATTTTTTCTCTCAATCGTACCTTATGCCCCTTTAAACTAAAATTTAAAAAATAAGTTTAAGGTCCAATTCGGTCATCGAATGATGATGTAAAAAGCCATTTAATATGATTTGGTTAAAGATAAGTTAAACTTTATACATATGACACTTAAAGTAAGATTTAGATGCAGATCATAGTACTACTGTTATATTTATATGTTATCCATTGGTATTGGAAATTAAGCTATGCGTTATAGCGAAAGAAAAAAATCGTTCTGGCAAATCCATTTTCGGTTATTCCATTCAAAATGTCTGAACTCTGTGAGAGGCCATGGAAATCTGAAAATAGTCATGGAAAACATTGCTCAGCGAGGACATTTTGATCCTATAGGTTCCAAAAAAGGGTCTTACCGTTTTGAATTGTCCTTGGAGTTCGGTATTTTGGTATTTATTAGGAATTTACTGGCTAATTTTACTAGTTTTCTTTAGTTTCGTATGATTAGATCACTTCTTTCAGAGTTACCATGCTAGGAGAGAGAAATGAGTTGGACAGGATTTTTTTAGACCTTTTGAGCCATGTTACTTAAGATTAAGCTCCTTCGAAGAAAAAGATTTTGAGAGAGGTGTTTGAGAAAGCCCGAGTACAAACCTTGTAAAGATTTCGTGCAATGAAGGAATATTTTAACGGTTCATTTTAATAAGTTTATTTTTAATGGACGGGAGCAGTCCGTTAATGACCATTATTCTACATCCCCGTGAAACCATTGAGGCTAATTCAATACCAGAAAAAAATCAACAAATAATCAATTGAGTACTTCTGCCAAAAAGGACTTCCGGAATGAATGTCGAAAATTTTGGATTGCCAATTGGAGAAAAAGGGTAGACGGACAGAAATAATTTCTTGTTTCCACAAACGAACCCCTAGGAGAGTTATTTCTAAGCTTCTAAAGCGTAGAGCGTGTCACTGTCCGAACACAACGCGTCGGATAAATAACTTCCCTGTTCTGATCGGATGCGTCTGGGTGTACAATACTCATATCCAACATAACCGTAGGAACAACTCCTCTCTCGCTTAGGGTTTTATAGCCGAGAAGTTGAGTTATCATATTTCTCTAACCTTGTTCACCGTTGCAGTTAGTGATTTAGTAAAGTAGTAAATAATATTCATCATAATGAAAGATTACATTTTGCAGTCGTTTGAAATAATGAATTGACAAATTGGGTTTTGCTCGTTGTTGAAGGCCGTACGGTGAATTATAGTTGTTAACTTATATGTCATATGGTCTCTGGTGGAGAAAGAGGGGGAAATGGGAAGGTTTTTAATTAGTTGAATCGCCTACTCGTACAGTGTCAGTGTTCAATCAAGATCCCTGCAACATATTAGGAAGAATACACACGTAATGAAGTTGTGAATCTGCTACAAAGAATGGGTATACGATGTTTTCACATTTTTCTATGTTTGAGACCTTACTATGCGGTATGGGTTTTATGAAGTCATAATGTTGCTTATTTCTACGTCATAAGTTCTTTGGCGGAAAGTTGTCTTATTGGCAACAATACCAAATCATCATGTTTTCATATACCTCTTTTTCAGTTAAATATGCCAATGACGGTCATGATTTTGGAGTAATACTACCATTGTTTTCCCTATTAGTTTTTGTTAAATTGACACTTTTCAAAAATTGTGCAGAATTTATCTTTGTTTTAAATAAAGACATACTGGGCATGAGTAAAGTTTTATCCTGTCCAGTACTACAGACAAATTTCACATAACATTTCATTTCATATAAGATAATAACCATCACTGGAAGTTAACCAATCAAATTTTCATCCTTTTTTTTCCTGTTTACAAGCTTTAGTAACCATGTAACCTCAAGCTTCTAAAATATTTTATAGAACTACCAAATAAAAAAGAATGGAGCGTTGAAACACGCAATATATATGTTCATGACATAACAATGAGCAAACCCCATACCATACAGTTAGCTTTTAAAGGCTCTGAAATGAAAAATGTTAAACAATGCAAACAAGAAAACTAACGGCCTGGTTTATATGCAAAACAATAAACGAAAAACATATACGTAAACATATGATACAGAGCAAAAACCGAAAAAACGGCGAATTACTGATTTCCGAAATTCAAACAGAATGTGGCAGGGTTAAACATGTTTGGTGGCGCACCCCCCCCCCCCCCCCCCCCCTAAATGTGGGACGGTGGTGTTACAGTGTACAACATAAGAATGAACTATCAAATTTAATTAAAAAGGACCGAGTTAAGCCTTCCAATTGATATTTTATAGTGTGTTTTTCTATGTTGTGATGTTATACTATTGTTTCAGAAAAGGGAGAAGGTTTGGTACCATTAAAACGTTTAATCCCGCTGCAAATGTTTGCACCTGTCCTAAATCAGGAATCTGATTACAGTAGTTGTCGTCTGTTTATGTAGTTCTTACGTGTTTCTCGTTTCTCGTTTTTATATAAATTTAGACCGTTGGTTTTTCCGTTTGAATGGTTTTACACTAGTAATTTTTTGGGGTCCTTTATAGCTTGCTGTTCGGTGTGAGCTAATGCTCCGTGTTGAAGGCCGTACCTTGACCTATAATGGTTTACTTTTATAAATTGTAACTTTGATGGAGAGTTGTCTCATTGGCACTCATACCACATCTTCCTATATCTATGAACTCATTAGATCGTAGCAAAGAACAATCAAAACTGAACTAAAACACAAACGACACAGGGTACAGATCTGATAGTACTCGCAGTTACTGAAAGCTAGTTGAAAGTCGTAAAAAATAATGTATCTAAGGCTAAAATATCAATCAGTACATATACAACATGCAATGGATTTAGTGTAAAGACGTCATTGACAGTAAAAATAAAAATAATGACCCTGTGCAAGCTAAAATATAGGTATCGACAGATTGTAGGTCCGTAAATGTGCATATGTGTACAACAATGATATTTAGTTGAGTTTTAATACATTGATAACAAAAGAAATATGTATACCAATAAAAAAACATATTCAAAGATTTAATTACAGTGTTAAATTGGTAACTTTTTTAAATAAGTTTATATTATAAAAAATCGATCAGTTTAGCTGGATCGTATTTACATTTCCGGGTTCGGTAAACAACATCACCGTAAAAATTTAGCAGGACAATGTCCATAGCTTAAGAAATATTCTGTGCAACCCGGCTATTTTAGTCTTTGATTATTTTATAAGTGTTTTTGTTGTTTTGAATTGAAAGAGTAGGAGGGCTCATAATTTCAAATCCGTATTAGTGATTTATTATGATGTTATTTTCAAATGCGCTTTACACAATTAAATTTCAACGTAACTATACTGTTGTCATTTTTATACTCGATATCAAATTAAGACACACCTATGGATTGACTGGCGGCGAATAGAAATATGATCATACCTTGACTTGCTCTTGTTGCACACAATATGTGTCTGAGTGTATTAGTAATAGACTTGTGTAGACTTCTACCTTCCAGAAACCAGTGCCAAATAGAGGCATCCGTTTGAATGTGTTGGTGAAAAAATACAAAGCCACGTCCGGTCAGATTTGGAACTTTACATCAGATACATTGTGTATGTTGGGTTTCATCCTATGTGATACTAAGGAACCGTTGCAAGAAATGGGTTCTCAGGTGGACAAAACTGTCTGCCTCACATATTCCATTGACAGTAAAATGTCTCGCCCTTCATCATGATCTTCCAACCTGGCAGGATCTACGTATATTTGTTGTATTAATTGTTAATTTGTTCTCGACCTTAATATGCATCAAAGTTATGCTTCTGGAAGATAATCAATCAACAATCATTTAACCAATCAAATTAAGATTCAAAAGCTACTGATCGAAACAAGTAACTGAGGGAATTATGATCACCTCTAAAAATGAGTTTGTACAGATTCGATGATACCTAAGGTGAAGATCAGCTATGTTTTGTAACTTTCTTCGTTCAGGAGTTTTGCCATATGCATATGAAGTTAATAATCAAATTTGAGTAACGGAACATGTCAGCAAGAAGAGGATCTTATTTGGTTCACATAGGAATGCCGACTTATCTTTTGAAAAGAAGTCCAACAAACGTAACGGCAATTGCAAATCATTTCAGCTGGAAGTTGTTGAGAGGGGTGAAGTACCTTGGTGTAAGGGAACGACAATTTAACTTCAAAGGAGGGGGGGGGGATTTATGGTTTTTTCTTGAAAAAATATTCTGATCCCCAATTTGATGAAAAAAAATATTCTGTTCAAGCAGATGACAAAAAAAATATTCTGAATGCAGATTCCTCCCATACCTTATAATGTTAAATTTTGAAAAAAATAATTTGATTGATAGTGTCGAATTTGCGCGGAAATATTTTTCAGACTAAAAAAAAACCCTCCCCCCTCCCCCCTTGAAGTTAAGTGGTTGCTCCCTAACTATTAACGAAATGTGGACAGGGGTTCCATGATGCCTAATTCTCTTCCCCAAATCCCAATTCCCTTCCAGCTGCTACAAGACGAAAATTGGTCAAAGAAACTTTTCCAGCATTTTCATACTTTTCTCCCTCCCACTATTCTCTCGTATTCCGCCACCAGCTTCCGTACCCTCATTTCAAAGTTCCCTTATTCCTATTCAAACCCTCATTAGTCGAGGTATAGGGGTGAATAAACACAACATCACCGGGACACCAACTATAGCTAGGCTTCACCCGTAAATCCGTGTACGTTTCGATAGTATGGGACCACCACCAAACCAACTCCAGCGCAGAGCTACTAGTTCACAACCAGTACCCCGGATCTTCCGGTCCAGACTGCGACATCGGACTACTAGACCAACTCAAGTGGGATATTTTGCAGCAAAGGCGAATGCACCAGCGAATAAATTAGACTTGTTCTTATCTACATAATCCAGAATCATCGAGTGGAGATCCAACATGGTACCTTTTACACACAAGATGTCAGTAAACATGGGAAGGCTATACTATGAGATTGATCAGAACAACAGAAGTAGTATAAGTAATATGCAGCGACAATTTTTCCCAAGATCTGTAAGAGACCGAAACCTTTGATCAGATACAGATGTAGCTGCACACACACGCAGGGAGTTCAGAAGTAGATTAGCCATTGTGTCATGGACCAAGTTGCAGTCTTACTAGACATAATCTGGTTTGTATGTACAGTGTAATTAATTCAAATTTTTTGGTTTATTTATTCTATGTATTTCAATGAGAAGCCTCCTGTTCTACCGACTGGAGTTATCAAATATAATTATAATATGACGTGCTTCTTTCGCTTTGTAAACAACACAGTGATAAAATTCTCGGTATATCTATACTTCGCGCAGACTCAGAGATGTGACTGTTACAATATACCTCCCACGTAAATCCAGTGTATCATAAGCTATGTGCAAACGTTTTGCCGATTTTGCTGTGTTCAAAATTGCAATTGAAAAAAATATACAGAACCTTAAAAACTAGTTCACGCAAGCTATAGTTTTAATTGACATTTTTAGCTTTATCTAACAGTTGGTAAAAAAGAACAGCCACACACACGGCATACCCACCCTCGCTTCAGTTTTTAAATTACCGTATTTGTCCTATATATAAGAATCGAAATAGTTCACGGAAGCCATAGATGTGTTGGAAATTTACACATGGCCTGGGCCGTGATATTCGTTAATTTTATCCCTCGCTAAAATTCTAATATCACGGCCCAGGCCATGTGTAAATTTCCAACAAATCTATGGCTTCCATGAATTATTTTTAAATATAAACCACTGAAGAACAATTTCCTTGACGAAAGAAGAAAACAGCGTATGTAACATTATTCATATCCAAACTTCTTCGTTAAATATTTGCTATACTGCATGATTCGGAAATTGTTGACCATTAAAAAGACAATCGAATCGATAAAAAAAAGTTGAATGTTGAGTTGCAACCATATATCGTATGAAGAATGCCAGAATCTACACTCAAGGTTTCTAAACACGCATTTAACACTGTGTCTAAACTACCCCGGCAAAAAATGTTTGGACTCAATAGTATCTAATATCCGGTACGGTGACGAACAACCAATAGATAGAGAAAAGGTAGGATTTCTGTTTATTTATTTGTTATTTTCATGATATTGAAGAATATAAGTACACATATAACTATTTTCGGTTGTGAGATGTAAGATTTTCCTCAACCGTTCTAGATTAATTAACGAAGAAATAAGCAAAAAGCCTCGAATTTGTTTGATTGCTCGTTAAATTGTGCACATTATACGGAAATAAAGGTGCCGAAAGAAAGATATTAACACGGAGATTGCAAGACTAGCCATTTTGAGCATCTCAATGTTAGTGTTGATGTGCATGGAACGAAAGAAATGGGTCATGTCAAAATAAGAGGACTCGGTTTTGTCAATGTTGTTTTCTACATAAGGACCCGGTTTTGTCTTTGTATATGACCCGATTTTGTTTCGTTTTGAAACCACAAATTTATGAAAGATCTGAATATTGTTCGTTGAAAGGAATTCAATATATATGTTATTGTTAAACAAACCTGTCGTTTTAAAGTTTATTTTAAACGGGAACTTTTCGAAATAGGGAGTACCCATTTTTAATGCAATACGTATACCTTACTGCACTTATCTTATTTATAGCACGCACTTACATTATATTTTTATAACATTATGCTGTTTGTTCGTTTACTATGCTTCATCATGTAATGATATAAAAATAAGAAGATGTGGTATGAGTATGTCACCATATCAATTTATCATAAAAGTAAAACTTACTTAATATGCTTTACTATACTATACGCTATGCTTACACTATTTACTCATTCGCTCATTAATTAATTCATTGACGGACAATCAGAAAAAGACTTTAGTCTATACTATGCAACCCCGCCAAATTTGTTGGTACTATATATACTGTGTTATTCGTACTAATGTGAGTTTTCACACTTTAGCAGGCACATTTCACACTTCAAATCCCAAGTTAACATTTGAAATGAATGTATATTACAATAATGTATTCTCAAGGTGAATAAAAGTTGGTTTGCAGCATATTATTGTCACAATATCTACGTCTTATTTAGGACAACAAAAGTAGTCCATTTACCCCAAGAAATTTGTTAATAAGACAACTTCGCATCAGAGTCCAAATGAAGTAAAAGTTAGCAAATATAGGTCACCGTATGGCCTTCAACAAAGAGAAACACCCATATCACTTAGCAAGCTACAAATGTATAAGAGGCCCCTAAATAACAAACGTAAAAAAAAAATCAAATGAGAAACTAATGGCCTGATATATGTACGAAACAAAAAACGACAAGCAAATATGATATAAAGCACCAAAAAAACAACCATTGAATTACATGCTACTGGATTCGACTCTGGCACATTTAAAGAATAGCGCTAGCGGGCTTAAACGCGTCGGCGCCAACACCTCATCTCCCACCTTTCACGGTGGCGTAACAGCATGTAACATAAGAACAAACTACAAAAATCAGTTGTAAAGGGCCTAATTTGTCCGATTACAGTAAATGCACGATTGGCGCTTAAAGTTATATCTTTGTTATGATCATACCTCTTACTATAATACATAATTAGGCCGTTAGTTTTCTCAATTGAATTGTTTCATATTTTTTAATGTCGGGGCCTTTTATAGCCGACTATACAGTATAGGCAATTCTTGTTGTTGAAGGCCGTATTTTTTATATATTTTTATAATGTAAGGTAAGAAAGTTTGGATTTCGATGATTTTTGGGGGGGAGGAAAGGGGGGGGGGGGGTCTAAAAATCAACTTGCATATAATATTACGATTCCCCCGAAATGTATAAACTTATCATTTTGATAAACATTGCTAACATCAAAATAATCGTTTTAATTACTTCAGATGTTGGAAAACGTGAGCTTATTCGTGAAAACTCATTTGCTGTTACAGCTGCTTTAAGCAACACCAATGATTAGTCTGGACTTATTTGCTGTTTTATACAAATAGATGAAGTCTCCACGAATTTGTATCTTTGTATCAAAGTGAATCTTTAACGCCTAGTGAAAAGCTTTGCTTTTTGTTTGTATGTGGTATTTTGGTTATTACCTTTCATAAACCTAATTATAATATGATGTCATCACTTGACATCTTAACGAAAGACATACGTATTGTTGCAGAACTCAAACTGTATGACTACAAAATATAACTTGATCCTTGGTTATGTGTATCGCTAGTCCTTTTTGTGTCAATAGAACAATGAATAACGGACCACCGTTTTTAAAAAATTAACCTATCATAATAGGAATTATTGTTTGTGTGTTCATTAACCAAATCAGAAACATGCCAATACAATCATTAATATGTTAATAAAGTCCGACTTGATAGACAATCTGTATCATTTGTTCCTGTGGAGTTAGTATTTTTTATATTACGACTTGTCTCATAATTTGTCAACAAAATATTGGACTTCAAATTACTTATACGAAACGATATTTTAAACGATATAATAAATTAAACAATAATAAAGTTTTAAATAAACATTTTTTTACATTAAATGTAGATCTCATACCAATCACGTTTACAAATATGTTTAGATTAACAAACACAAGTAAGTATACGGCTTGTGAGTTATTAATTCATGAAAGTGTTAATCCGTGTACAAACACCGTTACAAATGTCTATAATCGTTTGCGTAAGGTTTATTATTAGTATTACGAAGGATATTTCAAAGCGAACTAAAGTGATGGGAAATGGTAAGATTTATAGAAGACAAACGACTATCCGAGTACTAAAATTATACTCGAGTACTCGAGTACTCGTTGCCATCCCTACAATATAGTTATATTATATCAGTGGCGGACGCCCCCTTTTTGGCCAAAATAGATTATTATGTCATGTTTTTCACGATTTATAAATGATTTCTTTAGCATAAAATCGTCCAATTTTTTTTCCATCGATACGCTTGGCTCCTGGACTGCCCTTGCATATTGACAATCATAAACTTGACCAACGTCACTAAAATGTAAAATAACTGTCAATGTACGATAATCATTTCACAATGGAGAGATAAAAAAAACCCGTTTATTTATAAAATCATTGATAAAATAATCGTTATTGCATTTTATGGATGGCCTGAGACATTTACTTATTAAGACATATATATAGTATAATAGTTACAAGGAGGGGTAAACAGATTTTTATCGCAAGATTATTTAGATCCTTTGCGCCGCATGAAAATTCATGAATACACATTTGTCTTATTCTCTTGCTTTATAATGAACATTTGTGTTTAGAATTTTTTTTCCAGACGATCGTAGAAAGATTACACCTCCTAGATAGAGTGGAATATTTATTAAAATAACCATTCTGTGTCCAAGAATATCACATATCAAATGTTCGTCCTTCAATTTTCAAGGCCATACAAATATACACTATCTAAGTTTGAACACTTAAATTTACGTAATTCATATTAAAAAACGTATAGAGAGCTTAAACTTCAATTTGCGAAACAACCCTCATTTCTTTGTATTTCACCGTAAAAATATTCGTTTTTATACAAAGCAAAATTAAAACTTTTTTTGTTCCAATAAAGCAGGAATTAAAGTGTTTACGGATTCAAATAAATAATAAGTTGTCCTCTGAAAGAAACTGTTTTCCAACCGGCAATCAAACTCTTGTTGAACGACGGATTTTAATTTATTTTATACGATTATGCAATAATTTTCTATGACAAAAGCGGGTCTTGCTTTGTGAAATTATAGGACGAAACCGGGTCGTTCACATTGACAAAACCGGGTCCTTCAATTTTGGCATGACCCATTTCTTTCGTTTCATGCACATTAATATAAATATTGATGTGCTTAAAGTGACAAGTCTTGCAATCTCCGTGTTAATATCTTTCATTCCGTACCTTTCTTTCCGTACAATGTGGACAATTAATCGAGAAATTAAACAAATTCTAGGCAAGGTGCCTTTTTACTTATTACTTCGTTGATCTAAATCGGTTGTGGAAAATTTTACATCTCACAATCGAAAATCTAATCTATATAAAAAACGAGATTAAGAATTATATGTGAATTTGACATCGCATCCCTTCATTTCCTGCTCATAAATTTGGTCAAATTTTTCATTCTGTGCCACTGTAAACAAGTTTTTCCAGTCTCCAATTATTCCTAAAATGAAATGAGTCTTCAAATTATATAAATCATCCAATCTTTAGTATGAGGAATCAGAACGTTTATTTCAACAGTAAGGAGGACGATTATGTCTTACTATATGTAATATTTGGAAAAAGCATTGCGTTATTAAAACTGTTCTTAATGTCAAGTTCTTTATCACGAATGGTCTTCATAAGTTTTGCATTAATTAATGTACCATCGAAGAGCTGCAATCAGCAAAAAAGAAAAACGTAAAGGATAAAACGACACAACGATATGACCATGTAAAGCTAAGAGCGGGTTTGCTTAAGTTCTTTTCGTAGCACTCATCGCCACCTTTTTAAATCTCATTATCGTACAAAATACATAGAATAACATTATGAAGAATAGAGAAAGCTAATAACAAATCCTTAGATTCTTCCCTCAGAGAATGCACAAATCTGGACAGACTTAACAATTTTTTTAATATTCTAGACAATTTTGCATTTGCACCCGCTAACAAAGCTGTCAACAATGTTATCGTTTTTTTACTATATTGAAATACTCAACATTGCGATACACACCGTTAAGGTATTACTCGAAATGAAAGACTCTTAATAACGGTATTTACTATTTCTGTAGAGTGAAAATCTCTTCAAAGTCTTGAATAAGCTACAATCCTTCGACCGTCAGTCTGCCTTTGTTCACAGTTATGATTTATCTATCCTTCAAACTACACTACCAATGAATCTTATTAAAGGAAATTTTTCAATTAAATATAATGGTCTTTTGATAAACCCAGATGTAGCTATATAATGTATATCTGTTTCAGTTGTTATACTTTCCTTTTTATAATGAAACATACAAAAAAAGACAAATTGTGCATGCAAAGAATTGATCAGAGCTATTGAAAAAAAACCGGTCTGATTGATCTATGACAGATCAATAAACGAAAAAATAGATAAAACAGGCGGCAAACAACGACAACCACTGGATAATAGGCTCCTGACTTGGGACAGGCACATACAGAATGTGGCAGGGTTAAATATGTTTGTGAACGCTCAACCGTTCATCTAACCTAGAACAATGGTGTAACTGAGCGCAACAAATCAACCAATTGTAAAAGTCCGTTGGAAATAACTTGACTAATAAGATTGGCATGAAGTATTAAAACAACTAAAAAAAAAAGCACACATAAATAACCGATCTAAAAGTAGTCGCAGTTACTGAGAGCTAGTTCATAACCAAAACAACTAATAGATAGATCATGTTCTCCGAGACTAAAGGGACTCATGTTCGTTTTGGAGATAACATATACAGACAAGTAAAGGCTTTTCAATGAAAATAAATTGGTCCTCTTAATGCAGATGTTTTTTTTTTACATTTATTCCAAATTTCTGACAAAGCGTCAAAAATAGCGAACAAAACACCAACTTATAGATATTTAAACAATACAGACGACCTCAATATCCATCAACCGACTACTCCGAAAAACAAACATGCAAAAAAAAAAAAAAAAAAATATACAACAATTAAAACAAACATGGTTAATTTCTTAATTGAAATTGGCTTTGAACTAGCTTTCAGTTACTGCGAGTAATCTTAGATTGAAACTTTTTTTAATGCAGTTTTTTTTTGTTTTTTTAGTAGTTTGTCTTTTTGATGCATCATTCTGATCTGATGAGTCAAATTCTTCTTAACTAATCTTTATGGATCTCAGAGTCATCTATTGTTTTGTAACACAACTGTTCCAGATAAGAAAACGGATGAGCGCTAACAAAAAAGTTAAACCACGTCACATTACTAATGTGCCTGATCAATGTCAGGACCATGGTTTTAGTTATTTTCTTTGTTTATTGTATTAGTTACAGTATTTGTTTTTCGTTTATTTTATTCTAGAATAAATCGTTGGCGTTTTCTCTTCCAATGTTTCAATTTTTTCGTAACCATATCTCCTTATTTATTCATATATTACCTTTCGCCAAATTACTGTTTTGCCAGAATTTATTGTTGATGCTACATCAGTCTTATTGTTCTTCATATTTGCAAGAGAACATTTATCGGCGATGTCATGGATAAATATATCGTCAGCTGAAACACCAAGAAACGTCGTAAGTTCCCGAAGTGTTGGAATAGCAGCCATGAAAAGATGAAAGCATAGACATTGGATACATACATGTATGACTATGTATACAGTGTTTGAATCATCATAGTTGTAATTTCGTTTTTTTTTCCATTCCAAAACGACAATGCACCGTTTCTAATTTATCGGTAACCTACACTTCAATGCACGTAAACACACCTCCCACTTGTAAATCCATTTACAATACGGATGAAAATACGGTTTGTGTGCTATTAAATTTGCTGTTACAAAATTTTGGAAATTATTCTAAATTAAGGAATATATCTCGCTCATGTACAGCTTTGATTTCTTGCCCGTCTTTGGCTATACCTTCTTGTCCCTTTTGGTTTCTAGTATTTCCTCTTTTAAATAAGTTTGGATTTTCAAATATTTTGGCCTCGAGCATCAATGAAGAGACATTGATTGTCGAAATGCGCATCTGGCTCAGAACATTGGTACCGTTTATGTTATTACTACCCATAGGTCGATGCCTCTGCTGGTGGACTGAAAGTTCCCCGAAGGTATCACCAGCTCAGTATCCAGTACTTCGGTACTGTCATGAAAATACGGATTTTGTGCTATTAAAATTTGCTGTTATTACAAGAGTGTTACGGTAACAGTTCTTATAATGTGTTTCTATTTTTACAATGTAGGCACGGTGGATATAGAATGGCATGATTACGTCTACCATTAAAACGATTGGGATCATGACTTTTTGTATTTTTGGATAAATATTAAAATATGCACAAAATTCTTTCAAATCAATAAAGGATTAATTGAAAATTCAAAAACAAAATTTCAGATGATGTTTTATTAAGTTGTAGATCTGCTTATTGGTTGACGTTTGTTTACCTTATACTTTCTTTGAAACATATTTAAATAAAATATTAAAAGTCATTAACGAAAACAATAGGATGATCGTTACTCTGTTCTCGAAGGAATACAATTAGAAGGCCAAATGGAGTACGAAGTGAAAAGCATTGAAGGCCTAAAAATTTGGAAAGGTTTTGCCAGATACAGCTGAGGTAATATATTCCTGGGGTAAAATTTAGTAGTTCGATATACTCTAAGTTTTTTAAACAGTTAATTTATAATTATGAGCATATCAATGATAATTCATGTCAACACAAAAGTGCTGACTACTGGGCTGGTGACACCTTTGTTGTTCGTTGGTGTTTGTGTGTCTGTTATTTTTTTTTCGAAGGAGTCGGTTTAGGTGATTTATGTGGTCTGTTGTACTGCCCAGCATTTTGGCGATTACTGTAATCTTTTTCGTATTATATAGCCATCCACTTTCGAACTCATACGAGTATACCAAAGATTGATGAACAAATCGTAGGACTTAACAAAAAATGACGCCGGAATCAAGTTCAATATTTTTTTCATGGAAATAAGGGTAAACAAAAATGCAAAATTGATTAAAAAAATGTTGTTTTTGTTACATATATGTACACGGAGTTCGTTTTGAGAACCCCATAATTGGTTAGCAGAAAGAAAAAAAATAAAGGAATATATTACCTTTGCTGTATATGCCAAACTTTTTTTTGATTTTTGGGCCCTCAATGCTCTCTAACTTCGTACTTTATTTATCCTTTCAACGTTTTGTTTCGAGCGTCACTGATGAGTGTTTTGTAGACGAAACGTAAAAAATTATAAGCCTGGTACTTTTGGTGACTTTTTTTTAATGAAGATATATCTCAACAACTAACTCTCCGCAATTACAAGTTTTTAATTCTTTTTGTGATATTCTGTGATGACTAACCTTTTCATTACTTTGACTTACAGTTGTTAGTTTTTCGAAAGTGACAGGTAATATATTGTCTCTTTTTTGAGATGCTGCTTTCTCAAACTCTTTGGTAAAACTAAACCATCCACCGTATAAAGAATCTTAAAAAAATATAGAAATAAAAAAATAAATGTTGAAATTTTCAAACGAGACGGCAAATATTCCGATAAAAAATGAGGAAAGCAAGTTATATAAAGACAACACCAGTTTTTAACAGTAGTAGAATATCTGTACAATACATCAAGCACATTATATGTTCGAATCCTTAATAGTGTGAGATTACATCTTACAATATTGAGTTTTTTCTTTTCAATTGTGTTCACATAGTTTTTCTGTTTTTTGTTATTGTGAAGACTGTAAAAAGTTTTCCTAGTCTCATATGTATATTTACCATTACGGGGAACATATTCCTTGTATGTCGTCTCACATTTATACTTCTACATTTTGTTATCGAACGATATGAGCTTTTTTTTCGAAAATAGATTTACTCTCCCTTCAAATATTTGCACTGTGCACACAGGAGTTTCTGTAATGTTATTTACAAATATCTTGATAATCCTAATCGCTTGACTTTTTGACATTTCGTTTTGCTTTGTTATTGAAATATAAATTATAATTTATTTCGCATATTTGTGATAATTTCTTTCTCTACCGAAACCTTCCAAATGTGAGGAAATAACTTTTTAAAGTATTTTTGTATTAGTTTGGCCGTGAATTATTTGATTGTCTGAATGTTTATGGGAGCAGCGTCAGGTTCACTTCTTCGTGAACCATCCTTCTGATGTTTTCCTTAATGGGTACGTATTATGGATTGTACACTTTCAGAACTTTGCAGTTACTTCCCTTTCAATTAATAGTATTTATGATTCAGCATGAATTAGGTTATTAGCGTAAGCATAGATTACTTGTGTTATTAGCTGTTTCTCTATTAAATGTAGGCTATCAGATGTATGTTTGTCAATGCGCAATATGACTGCGCACGCGATCTTTTTTTCATTCCGACATTTGAAAGAAACAGACGGAATATTACTTGGTGATTGAAAGAAAATTATTTTGGTGATTAAAAAGATATAGGATCCACATTGTGCAGGTTTTGTACCACTTTTCTAACATTGGAACTCAGGTGGTATAATTAGTCTCCTGCAATAATTGTGGGATATTTAATAGAATATCAGTGTTTTATAGCAAATTAATTTCAATGTATTGCTTATTTTGCTTATTTTTACAAGTTATAATACTTTTACTATCCGGAGGTAGCGATCGGTGTTTATTATGTATAAAATTGAGCTATCAAAAAGTTTTTATGTACTGTTACATAGAGATATACACGTTTTATTCCATTTCATTTCAACGCTTGACACCGATCTGCAAATTTCACTCCGGCGGTCACAACTTAATGCTAATTGAAAGTTACGCATGTTCAACATAATTATTTTTTATCTTTTCATGTATGCATCACCATTACCTTAATTGTAAGAATCATTATATATGCACAAGCAACAATTTGTTAGCTTTCTTATTATCACTATAGATGTTATTATCATCATTTTTTTTTATTATATATAATACATGTGATTTAGATATCGTCTAGTATTCTGTGTCCGTTGAATTACTTTGACCGATTTTATAATATAAAACAGAATATATCACCTTAAAAGCGCTATTTTTAACAGCATCCTGCCACCGCCTAGTCATCGGTACAGATTGTTTAATCAGCCTCCTCGCTCGTGTAACTCAGAATATTTTATTGTTATCGGATGCTGACCGACATTTGTGCAACGGTATCACTTCACGTAGACAAACATATTTCATTCCTGACAGATGAATGTTTAATCTGGTTGGTTATAGGCGTCAATGAACTTTTGAAGGTCGATAAGTGACAAATTCTTTATTTATAGTACAAAGCAATATTCTGTTTTGGTTGTTCAATTATATTCTTATAGTTGTTTGGCACTATGATGAATACAAGAAGGTCATCCAAAAAAGTGGAAAGCCATTGCAATATTCGAAGCTGCATCAATACAAGAGGAAACACAACTTCAACCAGGTTCAGTACCAGCATCTAACGATCTCTCAACTTCAGGAGGATTTTCTTTTGATGTAGTAAATCGACCAGGTAATGCAATAGGTAAAGATCATTCAAATCTCACGCAAACAACTAGTAACTCTCCTAGTCTTGACTATGAAAGAGGATAATCAGCTGGCTGGCTAGTTTTATCAAGGGGGATATTCCAATCAATACATACGATACTCCGATGTATCTCCCAATTCCATATTTAAATGCCAAGATGGTGTACATTTGACTCATATTAGTAATACATTTTGCTTATCACATTTCAAGGCGAGGTAGATGCCTTTCTTGTCTACACACCACATACTTTCCACAATGAGTATTAAGAAATTGCATGATATTCATTAGAATTCAGTTATCGTTAGGGTTTAAATTTATGAGTCCTTTATATCTGTTTTTTTTTTTATTTGGTACACAGCTTCTACGCAGCTCTGTCCGTTTTTAATGGTGGTTGACCCGACAGTCATTTATGACTGTCTTGGTCATTTTGGCACATTTCGCTGCGTTTCCTTTAAATATGCGTCATTTGGCGTCATATTTCATTTAGCATCCAAAACAGTTGATATTGTGGGTCTCTGTATCCCAGGACCACCACACAAAAATTTACGAATCTCTGTTTCCCAGGATTCATTTAATTGGATGCTTCATCTATTGTAAATAATTAGTTATCTAGTTAGTTATCTAGTTATCTTTTTGTAATTTGCCATTATGAAAGGTGACTTCGTTCAATTAATTATCTATTTACTATATACATATCTTAATTGTTTATCTAGTTAGTTATCTAGTTATCGTGTCGTAGTTTGCCAATATGAAAGATGACTACGTCCATTCAAATACCTATTTACTATACATATATATATCTTAACTGTTTACCTAGTTATATGTGTTAATAATCTTATAATAAAGCTGTGGCCAAATACTGCCAATACAGTGTTTCTAATCATTGCGCATCAATAATAATATAGTTATATAATTAACAAAATCTGTGGCAGCATGGTTGTAGATTTAATAAATTGGTTAAGCTTTCACTAAATGTGTTCACAAGGAGAGAGACAAATTGTGGAAGTACAATTCCCCCTGAAGGTTTTCAATAACAAGTGATGTGCAGCTTTTGCAGTTACTTTTGCTTTAAAAAAAAAAGCTACACGTAAGTTTACAAATTGTCATTCTAATTTTCCCCGCTTATGATATATGGGTTATAATTATACTGGTGTACTTCAATTGTTGCGTCAGTTATATTTTGGGTGAAAATTATATCGCTAATATTGAGTTTGAAGCAAGGGTGATTTTGTCCTCTGTTATACTGCTTTGAATCTCTGTTCAGTGTGTTCTAGGCATTTTTAAAAAAGTCGTGTCTTCCTGTACTGCTTATGATTTTAATGTACGGAATGTTTTAAACAGTAGATTGCTAATAAAGTTCGGAAAGGCATGGTTTCTTATCAGAAGGTAAAGTATGTTGAGCTTGTCTTTGTAAGTTCAAGCATTTATTACAACAATATTATGTTCTTTTATATATTTTTAAGGGGCTTTTTTTATATATCTTCATTCTTGGAACACTTGCAAGTTAAACGATTCAAATTTTAAGGAGGAGGTTTGAGTTTCCAAGAAAATCCTATTATGCACCACATGTTTACTTCCCTGTTTGAAGTCAGAATCAGTGTAAGTAGTTGTCCTTTGTGATATCTAAATATGTTTTCGTTATTTGGGATTGGGTGACGGGGAACATTTTTTTGTTGATAACAGATCTAACTCCAAATCTCAACGTACTTCTATTTCTTAAGCCTTTGGTATATTTTTATGCCCCACCTAGGAGCATTATGTTTTTTGGTCTGTGCGTTCGTTCGTTCGTCCGTCCGTCCGTCCGTCTGTCACGCTTCATGTTAAAGTTTTTGGTCAAGGTAGTTTTTGGTGAAGTTGAAGTCCAATCAACTTGAAACGTAATACACATGTTCCCTATGATATGGTCTTACTAATTTTAATGCCAAATAAGAGTTTTGACCCCCCAATTTTACGGTCCTATGAACATAGAAAATGATAGTGCGAGTGGGGCATCCGTGTACTATGGACAAATTCTTTTTATCTTCATCACTTTAAATGACTGATCAATTTGTAGCACCGTTCTGCAAACGACAATTCTGATAAAAAATCTACAAGATCATGATTGGATCATTTGCACGAAAAATGAATAACAAAGTTAAAGGATTAATATGGATGCTCCAGAATGGAAAACAGTTTCTCCTCCACATGTGTCACCCGTCGTGTTACTTATGTAAGGACAATTAGTTAATACTAGAAGATGCCCACTAAATCGCAGTACAATTGGGTAAGTGTTGAAACAAAGAGTTTTTAAATTTCGCGAGCAGTACCTCTACTGAGCATGCGCGAAAGCATATAAGACACGGATCGATCACGGTCTCCGAATTACGATATTTTCTCAAAAATTGGCGTTTTCTGTGGAAAAAAGATTGTTTCGAAGTCAAATTTAGGAAGTACAAAACACTACATTTATACGTCATATCACAAATATTTCCGACTTTGTATGATTTCAGAGGAGTTGCGGCTCAATGAAATCGGTCTTTTCCTTTAGTTGTATAGAAGTATTTAACACAACGTTCATAGTAAATAAATGAAAAATAGTTACCAATGAGAACGAAATTGTCAAAAAACTCTTTCCAGGACCCCACAGGTACTCCTTTTTTTTGCATGAAGTAAAAGTTTGACACAGCTCTATCTTTTGGGTTTCTGTTCAGATATATAATCTTGTATTCGTTTTCCACGTGCTTTCTTGGCAGATACTTTAAGGGTAAATGTGTTTGGAAGAGTCTTGGACTGTTCCATTGCTCCAATCGGTCCCAATCAGTTTGACATTCAAAGTTGCAATCATTCAGTTCACCATGGCTGTTATATTCCGTGGTCTGATGTAGCAGCATGGATACAATTTCATGCACCCAGTGTGTACCTGATAAATCATAAAAAAATTTACATACATAAAATTGATTTAAAAAAGAGGCTGAAGTATGGGGGACAATAAGAAATGAAAAGTACAAAAAATAAAACCAAAAACAAAAATTATCCAAAAACAAAAACCATGGCAAATAAAACGACGAAAGACAAAAGTCAGTCTACAAAACACCACAAAGAAAACAAAGACTGATCAACATAAACCAAACCAAAATACGGGGGTAAATTAGATCTAAAATATCAATGAAATAAAAGTCATTCGTTCCTAAATCATGTTAGTTTTAAAGATTTCAACGTTTTTTATGCTGGTGTAATATATTAGTCACTCACAAACACAGAGAGTCAAGATTCTTTGTCGGTACAAGAAATCTCTTAGAATGTACCAAAAAATCAATGAGTAAAAGCTTTGAAGAAAATCACATCTATGAAAAAAACTAAATCATATAGGTCTGAGAAGACTTTAAGTCTTTTTAAATTCAAATTATGTATAAACCACATCGAAAACAAAGTGAGCATAGCGTACAGGAATCTTTAAAGTTACAACAAAAAGGAACCAAGAAATTACTGAAAAACATATTTTTCTACAGAAATCTCAGAAATAGCATGCTTAAATACTGTAAACTAATTTTAAGACAAAGGATAGGGATATACATGTATCCGAGGGTTTTAAACAACTGTTACAGGTAAATAGTTTGAAGCGAGACTCATTGTTTTAAAACTTTCAAAGTTAGGAAGTAAAGCGCAAAGAAGAAATTATTGTAAAAATGTGTAAAAATGTTAAAACAGTAAGACGTAAAAAAACTAATGGCATATGGATAAAACAAATCTCGTTTATTTCAAGGGTTTAGCAAATAGTATCTAGTTTGATTTTGCTACTACCCGTGATCGAATAGTGACAGTTTCGATACAAATTTAAAAGTTTCATGATTTCCCCTTTTGTCTTCTTATCTAATTCAAATTTTATCATGGCTTGTTTTAAATTAAAGAGGTTATTTACAGTCAAAGTGGTACCAAACATCTTGACTAAAATTAATTTGGCTCATTTAATTTTCGATAAAATTTTGAAAAAATATTTATTTTGACCTTCTGACAAAAATATAAAAATTTCAAAAAACTTGAACCACACACTTTTTCGAAAAAATTTCATTGACAGACACTAATTTTGATCATTGAAAAGCTTAATATTTCCGTAACAATAGAACGTGATTAAAACGTTCAATATATTTTCCCTGTAGTGTTATGTACCACATTAATGAATAATAATCATGAGAGACATTTTTTTCAAACTTCATTTTACGCAGAGAATACTGATTTTAGAATCATTTGCGCACTTTAGTGTAAACAATATTTTATTATGAATTATACAAGTATAATATATATTTACATTCACAAAAGGATTCAGAAACAAGCAACAAGTGCTTATGTCAATATGTCTCCTTGTTAAATTAGATACAATATACACAAATAATTCAAAAATACATGCTCTGTTACATAATAAAAATATTGATAATGTCAGTTGAGTTACGTAACATAATGAACTGAAAAAGAAAAGAAAAATGCAACTAATAAGATGAAATGCTTACAGGTATATTGTGTGAATTATTAGTTTGTAAACCTTTTAGATTTAATAATGAACCTTTGTACCATGAGAAATAAAATAATGTTTTCTTCATTTGAAATCATATTTGAGCCGTTTAATAGTAATTCGGTGTCCATTGGTACTGTTAATTGTTGGCTTCCAAATGATATTATCAATTCTTGTCTTATGTCCTAATATAATGGGCAAAATAATAAAAAGTGCGAGTTAGTTTTCAAGTCAACACAGTGACAGTGAGGAGAAGAAACTAAATTTCCAAGTCACCACAGCGACAGTGAGGAGAAGAAACTAAGTTTCCAAGTCACCACAGCGACAGTGAGGAGAAGAAACTAAGTTTCCAAGTCACCACAGCGACAGTGAGGAGAAGAAACTAAGTTTCCAAGTCACCACAGCGACAGTGAGGAGAAGAAACTAAGTTTCCAAGTCACCACAGCGACAGTGAGGAGAAAAGAAACTAAGTTTCCAAGTCACCACAGCGACAGTGAGGAGAAGAAACTAAGTTTCCAAGTCACCACAGCGACAGTGAGGAGAAAAGAAACTAAGTTTCCAAGTCACCAAAGCGACAGTGAGGAGAAGAAACTAAGTTTTCAAGTCACCACAGCGACAGTGAGGAGAAAAGAAACTAAGTTTTCAAGTCACCACAGCGACAGTGAGGAGAAAAGAAACTAAGTTTTCAAGTCACCACAGCAACAGTGAGGAGAAGAAACTAAATTTTCAAGTCACCACAGCGACAGTGAGGAGAAAAGAAACTAAGTTTTCAAGTCACCACAGCGACAGTGAGGAGAAGAAACTAAGATTTCAAGTCACCACAGCGACAATGAGGAGAAGAAACTAAATTTTCAAGTCACCACAGCGACAGTGAGGAGAAGAAACTAAATTTCCAAGTCACCACAGCGACAGTGAGGAGAAGAAACTAAGTTTCTAGGAAACAAGGAACTACTATTCATTCTTAGTCGCGCATGAAGAATTTGGCCTTTTCGACATCTAGCATAAAAGTATAAAGGGACTCGATCGTTCTGATTACAAATATGTTTCTTAAATACTGAGAGAGATTCGCAATTTCTTACACTTAATGGTAGATGATTCCATAATTTGATGGAAGACGAAAGATAATAATCTGAATAAAGTTTTGTACGGGTTTTCACCTCTAATAGATGATTACTTTGTCTTGTACTGTGGTCGTGTCGACCACTGACATAGCTAGGCAATAACTATTGCAAATGTTTTGGGGTTTTGTTATTGACAATTTTATGAAGCAGTATTAATTTGTGGTTACTTCTTTGATCTGAAAGTTTCTCCTATTGGGTTTCTTTATATAACATCGAAGTACTTGTGAGTTTGGTCCCCCCTGTAACTATACGAGCGGCGTTCAACTGGATGTTTTCGAGTTTATTCATTAAAGTTTGATTTCCTGAATCCCAGATAATATCAGCATATTCAATGATAGGTCTTATAAACGATATATATATTTTTTCCAAGGTCATTCTGTCTAAAGTGTGTATTATTTTCCTTAAAATATTAAGTCATTTGTAAGATTTCTGTACAATATAATCAACATGTACATTCCATGAACCATTATTAGAAAATAGTACTCCTAAATGCTTGTGCTTTTCGACTACGTGTAATTATTCGTTATTCAGTTTAAAGGTGGGTGATAAGGTTTTGCAAGGGTTGAATTTTACAAGCCATTTCTGGGACCATTCGTAATTTTTTTCAAAACGCTATTGAGAATTTCAGCAGCTCCTACTGGATTATCAACAGTTAAATATAGACTTGTATCGTCAGCAAAAAACTTAATTTGGGCTTTGATATCAGTGACTATGTCATTAATAAATACCAAAAACAGAAGAGAACCTAATATAGAACCTTGTGGAACACCAGCATTAGTGGGCAACCAGTCAGAATTTGAACCATTTATAACTGCTCTTTGAGACCTTACTTTCAAATAATTTTCTATCCATTTAAGTAAGTTTCCAGATATACCATATCTCTGTAATTTAATGAGAAGACCTTTATGCCAAACTCTATCAAATGCCTTACTTATGTCACAGAACACAACACGTATTTCTTTGCCACTATCCAAAGCTTTTCCAAAATCATTCGAAATATCTAATAACTGATTTACAGCAGAGTCCCCCCTGGTGAAGCCGGACTGGTTTTGCGTTAGAATATTATTCTGTCTGAAGTAATTATAAATATGATTATAAATACAGCGTTCCATGCATTTTGATAAGACACTAAGAAGAGAGATAGGTCGGTAATTTTTAACTTCGTTTGGTGAACTATTTTTAAGGACAGGTATGACATTAGCTTTTTTCCATTGACTCGGAAATTCAGCTTTCCTTAACGACATATTAAATAATTTGCAAAGAGGATATTTTATAACCGATGAAGCTTCTTTTAATAACCTTGGATTTAACATGTCAAATCCAGATGTTTTAGAAGGATTTAAAACATTCAAGGCATCCTCAATTTCTGTTGCTGAATCATTTAAATCAATTTCGTTTAAGTTGTTAACATCATCGTTAAGGTTACTTAGGTTATCGGCCTCTACGTCGTCTAAATTAGATTGTGAAGCAAAATAAGAGTTAAATTCATTTGCCTTTTCAATATCATCAAAAAATAAAGTTCCATTTCTTTCAATGGGTGGTATTTCATTATCGCTAGGCTTAATACCAGAAAATTGTTTAACTGTTTTCCACCAGTTTGTGCTAGACAGATTACCATTCATAATTTTGTTTATAAGGTTATTATTGTAATCTTCTTTAGATTTCCTAACAAGTCCAGTGACTTTGTTTCTTATTTTTTAAAATTTATTCCAGTCAGATTGTCTATTAAATTGTTTTGCCTTTTTATGAATTCTCTTTTTCCTAATAATTTTTTTAATATCATTTTTTAGCCATACAGGACTGTTTTTTCCGAACTGTAATAATAATTTTATTGGGGATACTTATATCAGCTGCTTGAAGTATCGTATTTGTTATGTTCTCGGTTACTTCGTCTACGCTGTCAGATGCCATTAGCGTGTCCCAGTCCGCTTCACCTAGAGTATTTCTAAATATATCACAATCGCCTTTGTCATATAACCATATTTTACGTTTAAAAGCCTTAAGTGGAGTTTTTAAGAAATTCAAAAAGCCAATAACTGGGCAGTGATACCGAATTTGGTCAGTCAACGGTGGACCAACACAACAATACGAAATCTCATTTACGTTACTTGTCATTATTAGATCTATCAGTGAAGTAGATTTTTCGGTAAAATGTGTTGGTTCATCTATTATTTAGGTTAGGCTGAACTGGTTTAGTAGAGCTTTGGTTTAAGAATAAGAGATGTTTAGTTGGTTTGCGCACTTTACAAACCAAAGAATTATTTGTCCGATGGACCCTGATATCGGTATAATCTATCTTAACTTTATATTTTAATCCAAAAGTTATCATTACATCATTATATACGGTGGCAGAATAAGGTCATTCAAGAAATATTTTTTAAACTTGTTCCCACAACATAGTATTTTGTTCCCACAAGATAATATCTTTTACCCACAAGAAGGTTTTCTTGTTCCCACAAGATTATATCTTCAACCCACAAAATAATATCTTGTACCCACAACATAATATATTGTTCCCACAACAATGTACATAAAATGTGTCTGAAAAAGGTAATAAGAGAATTAGAAAAGTGAGAGCTATGAAAAAATCAGATAATTAGGTACTACAATGGTATCCTTGATTTTTGTTAAAGAAAAAAAAAATTTTTAAATGTCAATCGGTTGCAGAACCAAGAAACACAATTGTAGTTATACTGAAAGTGCCTAAACAATTAAACTCAAATACACTTTTTAAAAGTCTTTTAGTTTTTAGATGCATCCAATGCTTGAGAGTTAAACTTTGTTTGTATCTTTACCTCTTGATTAAGGTAGAAGGTGATGATGGTGGTTTTGGTCTTAATTTCAATTTACAAAAATGTGGCGTTTTCACGCTTTTTTTCAAAAACATAATAAAAGGATGGGATACGAGTCTTATTTTCAAACTTAAGAATATGCAAAGTTATCAATTTTCATCAAGTTTATACATGGAAACCCTGATTTTGTGTGATAGAAAGAAAACTAAACAATAGATTTTTTAAAGATAAAATGTGTAATATTTATAATGTGCTTTCAAAAATCAAAAATAAAAACTGATGTCACGAGAATCGATTACATGCTACAAAAAGTAGGAAAATTCAATTCACATTCCTTTTTAAAAAGTACATTATCTGAGTCTCCTCCCCTTATATGGCGAAATTGAAAACAATTTCATCGAACAAAAAATGATGTATTGGTAAAAAACCAATCTAATTAAAACCCGATCTCTCATCGCTCCCGATTTCTGATGCTCCCACGCGACATATATCAGAAAACGGGAGCGATGAGAGATCGGTTTTAATTAGATTGGTTTTTAATCGTGAAAATAAGACACAAATCATTTTTTTTTTATTTAGATGAAAAGTCTTACAAATATATTACAGTAAATTCTCAAAATCTGCACATTTCATTAAAGATCAAGACCGATTGTTTCCGCCATCCCACCCGACAATATGAATTTTTCTTATGTTTATAGTGGTTCATAAATTTAACAATTTTTGTATGACATGAATCTTCAATTTTGTTTCATAATATGTTTTTGCGTGTGCTTTTATTGTTTAAGATTGGTGTTTGTGTTAGGTACCTGCAGTGACCTATGCAGATAGTACCCTTTTAACTTTAAATTGCATTTGTCTTTAATATGCACACTGTCAAGCGAGCTGATCCAATATTCAGGTGTTGATTTTATTTAATGACTGATTTATGTTCGTCTGATTTTTTTTAATTAGAAAAATTACGGTAAGTGTCCAATCTTCTTGTAACACTATTATTAGTGCACGCTACCTTTTGGTACGGTCTATTGGAATGTGACCTTAAAAATACAATAGATGTGTGTATTACCTGATTTCATTGCCGAACAGATTATGACATCTGTTTCACGAGAATTAAAGTTTCTCACTGAGTCCATAAACTTATCTACATCTTTCTTGGTAGGTGACATGTGTGGTAGTTTCATACTTTCATATTCATTGAAGGGGTAAAATGGTCTAACCTTCCTGAAAATAAGTATAATATATATATCAATACATGAATAGTGTATTCAAAATAAAATCTCCCTACGATGTTAAATTGACCACCTTTCAGAAGGACCCCTTTCAGAATACATTTATTCAAGTGATCTTTAAGTTTAAATGAATAAATTCTTGATTTTTTTTAGCTCTACGAAAAACATTCCCCTGGTATGCTTTTGCTTGTATGAATCAATCTTATATATAACTAAAAACCAATTGTTCAAAGAACAATTGAAGGTCTTTCCACATCAATTTTCTTAATAATTGATGAAAATCTAATTCTGGTTTACTCAAAGCTACTATTGGCGTCCAATCATAGCTTTCTTCATACTGATTCAATAAACATATGGTTTCTTTAGACTTTTGCCTGAAATAAGGGAGATAATTGTCAACTTCCGGTTTAGAAAATGTCACTTCTGGTCTCATATGATAGCTTTATTTACACTGATTCCAAAAATATATGGTTTATATATACTTTTGCTTGTAAAAAAGGAGATAATTGGCTACTTCCGGTTTAGAAAATGTCACTTCCGATCTCATATGATAGCTTTATTTACACTGATTCTAAAAATATATGGTTTATATATACCTTTGCCTGTAAAAAGGGAGATAATTGGCTACTTCCGGTTTAGAAAATTTCACATTCAGTCTCATATGATAGCTTTATTTACACTGATTCCAAAAATATATGGTTTATATATACTTATGCCTGTAATAAGGGAGATAATATGCTACTTCCGGTTTATAAAATATCACTTCCGGTCTCAAATGATCGATTAATGTATGACCATTCAAAAAATATGGTTTCTATGTACTCTAACAAGAAATAAGTGCAAAAATGACTACTTCCGGTTCACTCAAGGTCACTTCCGGTTTTTTTTTCAAGGTCATATGTCAACCAACAGTTTGCAAAAGACCCTATGGCTTTATCATGTACCAAGTTGGAGTAATAATCAATTAACCTTAAATTGAATCATTTCAGGGACAATAACTCCTATAAGATATCATTGGATTGTTTCAGACCAAATGTATCATATCTTAATCACAATTAAGCAAACATTTTGCACTAGTTCTTTAATTTGTAATTTTAAAAGTGACAGAGGAGATCAAATAACAAGGAAAAGTCAAAATTTAGAATATGACCTTGACCTTTGACCTTGGCCTCAATTTCATTTAAATGAACCAAGGAACTCAAATCAATATACCTTAGGTCTCTATCACTTACCATTCATGCTATACATTTATATATCCCTTATGTAAAATACAGAAGGGGAAATAACTCTCATGTGGAGTTTACGTATCGCTTCGGTCAAAATTGGACAAAACATCCTGAGGATATAACGAGCAATTTAGTAAAATAAATTTGTCGCTTTCTTTTACGGTTACGGAGGAGATGCACGCACAAGGAAAACAGTGTTCGGGGAGATAACTCCTACAAAGGAAAGTATTTGGTTAAGCAGGGTCAATTTCAAAGGCGCATAAACTGTTCGATATCATATACGAAACATCTAAGCTACATCTTGCGAACAAAAATTTATCGCAAGAACAAAATTTGGCGGAAGAAAAAAAAAAATTGAAAATTAAAAACCAATTGTTCAAAGAACAATTGAAGGTCTTTCCACATCAATTTTCTAAATAATTGATAGGAAGCTACTTCTGGTTTACTCAAAGTTATTAATAGCGTCAAAGTATAGATTTCTTCATACTGATTCAATAATTAAATGGTTTCTATATACTTTTGCCTGAAATAAGGGAGATAATTGCCAACTTCCGGTTTAGAAAATGTCACTTCCGGTCTCATATGATAGCTTTATTCACACTGATTCCAAAAATATATAGTTTGTATATACTTATGCCTGTAATAAGGAAGATAATATGCTACTTTCGGTTTATAAAACGTCACTTCCGGTCTGAAATGATAGGTTAACCTATGATCATTCAAAAAATATATGGTTTCTAGGTACTTTTCCATGAAATAAGTGCAAAAAATACTACTTCCGGTTCACTCAAGGTCACTTCCGGTTTACTTTTTTCAAGGTCATATGTAACCAACAGTTTGCAAAAGACCCTATGGCTTTATCATGTACCAAGTTGGAGTAATAATCAATTAACCTTAAATTGAATCATTTCAGGGACAATAACTCCTTTAAGATATCATTGGATTATTTCAGACCAAATGTATCATATCTTAATCACAATTAAGCAAACATTTTGCACTAGTTCTTTAATTTGTAATTTTAAAAGTGACAGAGGAGATCAAATAACAAGGAAAAGTCAAAATTTAGAATATGACCTTGACCTTTGACCTTGGCCTCAATTTCATTTAAATGAAACAAGGAACTCAAATCAATATACCTTAGGTCTCTATCACATACCATTCATGCTATACAATTATATATCCCTTATGTCAAATACAGAAGGGGAAATAACTCTGATATGGAGTTTACGTATCGCTTCGGTCAAAATTGGACAAAACATCCTGAGGATATAACGAGCAATTTGGTAAATTAAATTTGTCGCTTTCTTTTACGGTTACGGAGGAGATGCGTGCACAAGGAAAACAGTGTTCGGGGAGATAACTCCTACAAAGAAAATTATTTGGTTACGCAGGGTAAATTTCAAAGGCGCATAAACTGTTCGATATCATATACCAAATATCTAAGTGACATATTGCGAAACAAATATTTATCGCAAGAACAAAATAAGGCGGAAGAAAAAAAAAAAAAAAAATTAAAAACCAATTGTTTAAAGAACAATTGAAGGTCTTTCCACATCAATTTTCTAAATAATTGATAGGAAGCTACTTCTGGTTTACTCAAAGTTATTAATAGCGTCAAAGTATAGATTTCTTCATACTGATTAAATAAATAAATGGTTTCTATATACTTTTGCCTGAAATAAGGGAGATAAATGCCAATTTCCGGTTTAGAAAATGTCACTTCCGGTCTCATATGATAGCTTTATTCACACTGATTTCAAAAATATATAGTTTGTATATACTTATGCCTGTAATAAGGAAGATAATATGCTACTTCCGGTTTTTAAATGTCACTTCCGGTCTAAAATGATAGGTAAACCTATGATCATTCAAAAAATATATGGTTTCTAGGTACTTTTCCATGAAATAAGTGCAAAAAATACTACTTCCGGTTCACTCCAGGTCACTTCCGGTTTTACTTTTTTCAAGGTCATATGTCAACCAACAGTTTGCAAAAGACCCTATGGCTTTATCATGTACCAAGTTGGAGTAATAATCAATTGACCTTATGTCAAATACAGAAGGGGAAATAACTCTGATATGGAGTTTACCTATCGCTTCGGTCAAAATTGGACAAAACATCCTGAGAATATAACGAGCAATTTGGTAAAATAAATTTCTCGCTTTCTTTTACGGTTACGGAGGAGATGCATGCACAAGGAAAACAGTGTTGGGGAGATAACTCCTACAAAGAAAAGTATTCGGTTAAGCAGGGTCAATTTCAAAGGCGCATAAACTGTTCGATATCATATACGAAACATCTAAGCGACATCTTGTGAAACAAAAATTTATCGCAAGAACAAAATTTGGCGGAAGAAAAAAAAAAAAAAAATTAAAAACCAATTGTTCAAAGAACAATTGAAGGTATTACCACATCAATTTTCTAAATAATTGATAGGAAGCTACTTCTGGTTTACTCAAAGTTATAAATAGAGTCAAAGTATAGATTTCTTCATACTGATTCAATAATTAAATGGTTTCTATATACTTTTGCCTGAAATAAGGGAGATAATTGCCAACTTCCGGTTTAGAAAATGTCACTTCCGGTCTCATATGATAGCTTAATTCCAATGATTCCAAAAATATATAGTTTGTATATACTTATGCCTGTAATAAGGAAGATAATATGCTACTTCCGGTTTAGAAAATGTCACTTTCGGTCTCATATGATAGCTTTATTTACACTGATTCCAAAAGTATATGGTTTATATATACTTATGCCTGTAATAAGGGAGATAATATGCTACTTCCGGTTTATAAAATATTACTTCCAGTCTCAAATGATAGATTAATGTATGACCATTCAAAAAATATATGGTTTCTATGTATTTCTACATGAAATAAGTGCAAAAATGGCTACTTCCGGTTTACTCAAGGTCACTTCCGGTTGACATTTTTCAAGGTCATATGTCACCCAACATTTTGCAAAAGATCTTATGGCTTTATCATGTACCAAGTTGGAGTAATAATCAATTAACCTTAAATTGAATCATTTCAGAGACAATAACTCATATAAGATATCATTGGATTATTTCAGACCAAATGTATCATATCTTAATCACAATTAAGCAAACATTTTGCACTAGTTCTTTAATTTGTTATTTTAAAAGTGACAGAGGAGATCAAATAACAAGGAAAAGTCAAAATTTAGAATATGACCTTGACCTATGACCTTGGCCTCAATTTCATTTAAATGAACCAAGGAACTCAAATCAATATACATTAGGTCTCTATCACTTACCATTCATGCTATACATTTATATATCCCTTATGTCAAATATAGAAGGGGAAATAACTCTCAAAGAACAATTGATGGTCTTATCACATCAATTTTCTAAATAATTGATGAGAAGCTAATTCTGGTTTACTCAAAACTGCTATTGGCGTCCAATCATAGGTTTCTTCATACTGATTCAATAAACATATGGTTTCTATAGACTTTTGCCTGAAATAAGGGAGATGATTGTCAACTTCCGGTTTAGACAATGTCTCTTCCGGTCTCATATGATAGCTTTATTTACACTGATTCCAAAAATATATGGTTTATATATACTTTTGCCTGTAAAAAGGGAGATAATTGGTTACTTCCGGTTTAGAACTGTCACTTCCGGTCTCATATGATAGATTTTTTTACACTGATTCCAAAAATATATGGTTTATATATACTTATGCCTGTAATAAGGGAGATAATATGCTACTTCCGGTTTATAAAATATCTCTTCCGATCTCAAATGATAGATTAATGTATGACCATTCAAAAAATATATGGTTTCTATGTACTTCTACATGAAATAAGTGCAAAAATGACTACTTCCGGTTCACTCAAGGTCACTTCCGGTTGACATTTTTCAAGGTCATATGTCACCCAACATTTTGCAAAAGATCTTATGGCTTTATCATGTATCAAGTTGGA